CAGGCAGGCCCAAATGGGAGTGGAAATGGATTTCTAGCAAAATAAAAATGACTCACAGCCCCGAGGCAGAAAGGTGCACAGTCTGTCCTGGGACTCCTTTCCTTTCTTTGTCCCCAGTGTTTGACCCTGGTGCAATTCTTCTGCCACGCACAGCTCGGCCCTCTGGCCATTCCAACATTGGAGTCCTCTCCAAAGGATCCCAGCAATGTCCCAGAGCTCTCAGAGCAGGCAGTGATGGTGCCCAGGGCAGTACCTGCCACTGCCAGCCCATGCCAAGGTTGTTTATCAAGTGGTCTCTGTTCACACATGCACACTGTTCCATTTTCCTGTGTTTCACAGGGCTGAACTAGAAATTGCTTTCACACAGCCAGAACTCTGAGAATTATTTTACTAGTTACAACTCAGCTCTGCTTTGCACCTGATCAGATCATGCACATTAGTGCAAATCAAAATGCCAATCTCACAGCTTCTCTTTTCCACTAAGCACCAGCAGCAGAGCACAAACCTCCTCAGTTCCACAGACACCATTTTAAGATTACCTAGTTACATCATTCCATGCAAAGCACCAAACATCAGCCCCAAATTGGGAGTTATTTCAGCTTTTTCTTTCTTTTAAGTGTTTCTCAGTGATTTAAATGTTGATCTCTGGGGCGGAAATACAAACTGACCTGTTCAATCAGTGTCGCTGCAACTGATCTGATTGTCTCCTACTCTCAGGGAATTTCAAGTGGTTTCTGTTACAAAATTCAGACTTCTGAAGTCTTTGTGAATATTCAAAAGGAGTGGAGTCACTGCACAAGAAATTCAGTGAGATAAGTTAAAAACTGAATTCATCACAGATCAGATCATTGGGTGAGTTTCTGTGTCACAGCACTGACTGAAAAACTCAGCAGATCCTTTCCCTGCCTTCCTTCCCCAACTGCAGAGTATTTAGTTTATAAAAGAATTGGCATAAAGTTACAACAGCAGCAAGAAAGAACCAGACTGAGTAGCCTGTGCAGGGGGTTCATATCCAACCACAGCACTAAGCCCAGAGGCACAAGGAATCTCCTTCCCTCTTCATGGGCTGCTGAAGGCAGAATATGAATCTTTCCATTGCTCAGAAAAACTTGTGATTGGGCTTTCAATAACTTCTTGTTTGATCCTTAGCTTGTGACAAAGTAAGTTCTGGAGTCTGTCAGACATGAACTTGAAGCTGTGAGTAAAATGACCCCAAATGTGAGATCCTACACCAAGTCTGTCCCCCACCTGGCCCACCAGATATCTCAAGATATTCCTGATGATTACACGGCTCTTTGAGCACTGAGCGGATTGATCTGACTGAGATGAAATGAACTCATCTCAATTGTTTTCATCTCCCAGAAAGTCTTCCTATAGATTTATTGGGAGCCAGCATCAACAGAGCAGCAGGAGCAGGTAGGCACCCACCTGCCTCAGGGCACCCAGAGGCTCCTTTGGGAGCCTGCAGCCAGTTGCCATGGCATTATTGGTGGGGGACTGCAGGTTTTTGCTTCAGTGAAATGAATGCACACAGCAACACTTCCATCTTCCCCTAACAGGCTCTCCACGTGCCCTCCCACCTTCTCTGTATCTCAGGTTTCTCTTTTTAGTGATCAAATCATTTCTCTGCCACTAATTTCTTTGGTCCTTTCCTCCTGTGCTCCCCTACCCCTACTCTCTCTCTCTCTCTCTCTGTGTGCATTGCCTTCTCCCTCCTCCAATTTTTTTCCACATTTCTCCATTATGGGATCTGTGTGTCTCAGTGCACCAACACTGTGATCCCTGTACACTGGACTGAAAGTGTCATCAACAACTCACATGCTTATTTTTACATCTGATATTCAACACAGTTCAGTAACACTGGACCAGCAGTGCTCCCCTGCCACATATAAAATTGTTTAACCCACTGATAACTCAAACGTACATTAGATAGAAGATTAAAGATGTAACCAAGCAGTTTTCATATTAACCTTCTGCTGGCCATTTCAATAAACAGACATTGCAGTGGGAAGGTTGAATTCAGTATTTCAAGTGGGACAGCTCAGTGCAAAAACCAGCAGAACAAAGGGGTATCTCAGACTGGAGCAGAGCTCAGATATCCCTCTTATGTGCATATTCAGAAGCTCTGATACCAGAACCCTGAAAGAATTTAAGGAAGAGGGGATTTTATTTGGAGAAGGTACTTCAGGAGTGTCCTCTGAGAAGCACTAGAAAGAATAAGCACATTCTCTCTAGGGAAAAGGCAAATCCTAAAGGATATTGCCAAGTTATTCTGGCACGACACAAAGTAATTCCAAAACCACCTCTTTGAACTGTATTGGTCTGTATTGTTCTTTAGAAGAGAGGCATTCCTTTAAAATCCAGAGAGAAGTTCAATCCCCAAATCTGAAAATCCCTGAAAATTGGGGTTTTTTTTAGAACAGCTAAAGTTCTAATAGGTTTTGTGTCTAAACATCCAAAACTATTTCATCCTGGAAATGGTAAAAATGAATCAAGCGTGCTGAATCTTTTTACAAAGCAGAAAAATAAGTGCAGATCTTTGAGGAGATAGGGCACATAAATCCCTGCCTCAGCCCAGAACTGCAGGAAGATGGATTAATTCCACAAAAGAACAGAAGCAGAATAAAAGAGGTGGCTGGAAGTAAAAAAAAAGGTGAAGGAAACTGCAAAGACAAAAGGCCCTCGTTCAAATTCATCGGATCCAAGAACGAGTATGACACAACCATTTGTCAATAAGTGTGAGAAACTCCCTCTAAAGAGGAGTCACGTGAGGATTTCTGCCATCTCCAGTTGATAAGAGACAAGCAATTTAATATTTTTCATAAATTTCCAAGGGCTCCTACATCACAGGTGCTCTGCAGGAGTGGATTTCATCATCAGTTAACTGTTTGGTTCACTCAACACCTCCGAGTTCCTCAACCCAGTGCTTGGCAGGAGACTCCCACTGATGGCCCTCCAGCCACCACTCCTCATGACCAGGAGGCCAAGGACCACCAGGAGCTTCCAGGCTCTGCTCTCCCTGTGAATGAACACCCGGAGCAGGAAAAACCACCCCAACAAATCCACACCGCCCAGCAGTGCTGCAGCCTGGAAGGGCTCGGTGTCACTTAATTAAAACTCTGTGCTCGGGGACAATCTTGAAATCACTTTTCTAATTAGGAAATGCACTCTGGGCCCAGATCATCAGCTGCGTGACGACAGCAGGGTGCCAAAGCAGGTCCGAGTCCAGCTGCGGGGGAGATTAATCTCATTTTTCAGAGCGGTCTCTCAATCAGAACAAAAATTCCTCCTAAAAACACGCACCAAGTCAAAGAGAGGGGTCCAAAATCAGTTCTCAGAGCACAGGGAGTGCTGGATTAATCTAATTACGCTGCTGTTGCTTTTTGCTGGCAAGCTATTTAGCAAAATGCAGAGAGATGAGAAAAGAATTGCCTCACGCTGATTCTGCAGAAGATAATTAAGATTTGTTTGGTAGAACAAAACACAAATCAGGGTTGGAAAAAAAAAACAACACAATTTTCAGTGTTTTCTGACAGCTGAGAGAGCGAGTATTAAAATGAATTAAAGGTAATTATCCTCATTACTTTTCCCCCTGTTGATGCTGAAAATGACACAAGATTATAAACTTTAGGACAACATTCAGCATCGTTTTGGAGCAAATTGTTCTCTTTTTTTCAAGCAAGTAATAAACAACCCACAGTTTTGCTTCACCAACAAGAAGCTAAAGACGTGAAGCACCACCTGAAAAGCAGATCAAGACTGACAGAAGTGAGAGATCTACCATTGTGTTCCAGGCTGGCAACAGACTCATCCAAAATGGATTAAACAATGCATTACCAATGCTCAAGTGCTCATCCCAGCAAATGGAAAGCCGAACCCATAGGGGATTCTCAGGTGTCTCACAGAAAGGAGGAGAAAAAGGGAAATAAAAAAAAATGCTTTCCATATTCTAAGCACGGCACAGCCCTGAATGACAAAGGCTTTTTCTCTGTCTTATTATCTTTTAACAAAAATCCCCCCCAAAGAGCCGCCAACTCGTTAACAAACTTCTGCTCATGAATTTATAAGCAGTTTCAGTTCAAAGCATTTCTCCTTTGGTTATTAAGTCTCAGTGGCATTTGAACAGAAGGGAAAAATCAGATTTTAGGCTTCAGGTCAAGATTATGATTTAATTGACGACTTTTTTTTTTTTAGGGCTAAGAATTCGGACAAGAACTAGAAGATTATAAAACAAGGCATATGAAAAGATATAAGGGGGTAAAATATCTCCAGAGACAGTGCTTATAAAAAGGGGGGCTAATGGGAAACTGGCTCACAGGGATTAACAAATTGCCAAATGCCCACGTCACCTTTGAACAGGTAAGTTATTTTATCCCTCAAGCCACCAATGAAGCAAAATATCTGAGACTTCTCAACAGTATCCAGCATGGCTTTCCCTGCAGATGCACATTACCCAGCTGGAGAATCCCACTGAACTGATGCAACTCAGCCAGCTGACAGGAAACAGAATTTCTGCCAAACAAACCCAAATTCTATGGGGGAGGATCCCCCCATATGTGATCTCCTCACTGATGCTCTTTGCTGTTTCCATTGCTACTGTGAGGAAAATGAACCCTTTTATAGCAGTTGTTGGCAGACAGTAAAAATAAGCACCTAATATCTCTTAGCACATACATTGTATGTATGTACATGCATTGATTAATGTATGGTAAGCAGAGATTAACAATGAGATCCTTCTTGATGTACAAAAAAACATCAACTGAAAATGCTCAGTGGGTCAGAGACTGACAAGGGGCATAACTACACTGGTTTCACTGCAGTAACTCAGAAAATAAAGCTGTGCTGTCATGTCTGGGTACAAGAGCTGTGCCACTCACTGGGCTGTCCATCACCTGCCACTCACTCAGAGCTGGCTCTGCAGACACTGGTGATGTTTTCCTGTTGTAAGGGCAAGCACTGCAGGCTCTGCAGTCCTGCTGACCACCTCTGAGCCGCCTTACCTCAAACAGCTCTTGCTCTGCCCGTCGATGATCATCCAGGAGCTGCTCCATGTAGGCCAGATTGCGGAATTTCTCCAGGTAACTGCTGTACTGTTTCTGCAGCTGCTCCTCAATCTTCTCGTACTCATCCATAAAAGCAGGACTGGGGAGAACAAGCACAAGCTGCTCAGTGAAATCTGCCCAGAGAAGCTGTGGCTGCCCCATCCCTGGAAGTGTTCAAAGCCAGGCTGGACGGGGCTTGGAGCAACCTGGGCTGGTGGAAGGTGTCCCTGCCCGTGGCTGGGGGTGAATGAGATGGGCTTTAAGGTCCCTCCAACCCAAACCAGCCTGTGATTCTGCGACTACAGATTTTATGTCAGGCTGTTGTCCTGTTAGAATGAGAGCAACTGATCCCAACAAGGGATACAGAATGAATTTTTTAACTGGTGGTTAATGGTAGAAGCCTGTGGGAACAGAGGGGCTGTTTGCAGTAGTTCCACCCTTTATACTAAAATTCATTTATGCAACAGATAATCAATTCACAATCCTCACCGGACACTCTGTAGAGTCTGCAGCCTCTTCTGGCTCCTTTCCAGTTCCAATTTTCGCTTTTCAATCTTGGCTTCCAGATTGGCTTCATCCAAAGCCACGTTATTCAACATGTCTTTAGTCTTTTGGACTTGTTCCTAAAAAAGAGAAGGATGGTGAACCATGGCTGGCACTGGAAGAATTAGAATTATCTTTCAGATGCTGAACGTTGTTCTGTATAATCTCATCTGTGTTTATTCAAGCAGGCAATGGAAATTAAAAAGCTCTTTGTGGCCAGGATAATGAACTAAGTGGATACTTGGAAATTTAAAATACCTTAATTTTTTCAGACATTTTTAAAGAAGAAAAAAAAAACAACACCACAGCTTTAACTTTAATTTTCCTTCTCACTGGAAAAGCAGTAAAAGATAGGTAGAAGCCTATCTTTCGGAATCATTAAGATCTTTTTGAAACCTATCTTAATGGAATCATTAATGTATTTTCCAACCTTAATGATTCCACGATTCTATCTGAATAAACACAGATGAGAAATGCATTTATTTCTTGGTATTATTTTAGGGAATTTTTGGTTTCTGTAATTTTTTTTTTTTCAAGGTAAAGGTCGCTTTTGTGAAGAACTTACTCTACCTGAATATCTTCATCCTCTTCTAAATCTTGCTTTATCTGTTTCTTCAAAATATGGGAGGCATCCTGAACATTAACACAGGTGCTACAGGAGGGGGAAGTGGGAATGTTCCAGCTCATGAGGATGAGCTGAGTACAATCAGCGTGTTCTTGTGAGAGAGAGAACTTCAAACGTGCTGAAATTCCAGCAGCACCTGTTGCTGCTGCTCAGCTCCAACAGGTCACTTAATTAAGTGGGCCAGAATTAATTAGCTGAGGTACCCGTTGCTGGAAGCCAATCAGTTTACTGTGCAGCTTTTAGTTCATCAGTACTACTGCTAGAATGTGAAATGCATGTTAACAACCCCCAATATTCATACAGACTGTGAGGAGGAGCAGAAACATAAATCACCTGGAATATCTACTGATTATGCACTGGCTGTTTAAAGCTGCAGCTCCACTCCTTGTAATTCCACACTTGGAATGGGTACAGTCTGCAGGTAAATAACTGATAGTAATCACTAGGATTTAATTAACCACCCTCCTCACACAGTGCACCGAAAGGTTCAGAGAAATTCAGGAACCCAAGCACTGGAGCAAGGACAGAGCTGTCACAACTGGGACAGATGAAAGTTCCTCCAAAATGAGAGAAGCACAACAATGCCCTGGCAGGGCACTGATCAGCACAGTGTCAGGGATGGGCATTGATCAGCACAGTGCCAGGGATGGGCACTGATCAGCACAGTGCCAGGGATGAGCACTGATCAGCACAGTGCCAGGGATGGGCACTGATCAGCACAGTGCCAGGGATGGGCACTGATCAGCACAGTGCCAGGGATGGGCACTGATCAGCTCCTCTTACCCCTGAGCTCAGCTATCCTGCTTCCAGAGCCATCAGCACATTTTGGGTCACCACGGTCACTCCTTGCAGCCCAAACCCTGCAGAGTTCACACAGCCCAGACAAGGTGGGGGGATGCAGATTTTTGGGCTGATTTAGGCCATTTTTATCCCTTCTGCACAGCTTTTGGGGCAAAGCTCCTGAGAGAGGCAGGGAATATGATTAAAAAGTGTTTCCTCCCAAGGGAGAGCCCAAGTGCAGCTGTTTGATGAAGGGATGTTTCTGCACATTGAACCAACAGTTGCACAGGGTGACAGTGCAGCAAAGAGGATCTCAGCATCTCCTAGGTGCTGCTGCTGGATTTGTTCACCCTTTGTGCTGCAGGTGTGATTTCTGCCAGCTTACAGCCAGCACTGTGCCTCACCTCATTCACTGTTGAGAAAAAGAGCTTCTTGCAGCAGAGAAATTATGATTTTACAATTAAATAAGTATCATTTTGCTTACCAGAACACTGTCAATGGCAATTTTCATCACCTTCTCAGCCTCATTTATCTCCAAAGGTCTGGCAATAGATTCTGTTCTTGCTTCCTACGAAATCAAAACACACCAATATATTTCAACTGCACAAAGCAGTAGGATGCAGAACTGAGGGTGATCAAGCAACAACGATGGGATCATCTGCATAATAAATGGGATAGCATTTAGTGTTTATTCACCAAAGCTGAGATGATTTAAAGAACAAGAGATGATGAAAAAGCCAGTTAACTGAGGCATCTTATCAAAATAAGCTTAAGTGCTACTGTCTGACTGCAAGTGTCCTTGGAGGCAGATTTTTGGCAACTGCCCCGGTTTTGCATGTAGAGCAAGGTATGGAAGGGGGGCACAAAGATTCCTTCACCTTTACAACACAACCCATGAAATCAGGATATTCCATGTGCCTCCTGTGCCCACGTGAAATTCGTATTCTGCAGATGATTGGGCTTCTCTGGTTCAGATAAACGAGGGGTTCAAACTCCTCAAAAAAACCCCAGGGATTCTTCTTTAGATCCCAAAGGATGGAAAAAGCCCTTTCCACTCTCAGCAGTTTTGAGGACACATGTGATGTCTTAAACACTGACCTGGTCATTACATAAAAACAACTGCATTGCTTGCTTGGTACTGGGAAGAGGAGAGAAAATTTTGCAGCCCAACGTCCTTAGAACCATCTTAGGTTGGAAAAACATTTGGTAACATGTGGATAAAGATGGAGAAAGCATCTCTCTAGAAAACACCTGACATAGAAGCTAAAAATGCTTTATACACATTGCAAAAGGCAAACCCAGCTTACTCCAGGGTGAATTCTGGGAGCAGATACAACAATTTTGCTAAATCCATGCCAGACACTCCAGATGGCACAGCTAAGGATGGGCAGAGCCTGCTCCCTCCCCACCAACTCAAGTCCAAGGAATTGCAGGGTGAACCCAACCTGGGGGCTCATCCAGCCAAAAAACAAACATGAAAAAGCAGCTTTTTGTGCTGAGCTTACTCATCTCTGAGCAATCCAACCTCATACTGCACAAAGGCTTTTTTTCCTGGCACGAGAAGTAGAAATATTATGTTGGAGAGAGTGACAGGAGTCACATCTGTCAGTGGCAGTGACAGCTTACACGGACTAAAGTACTTGTGAACATCCCCCTGTCCACAGAGGAACATGAACTCCAAGGCAGAAAGTTAATTTGCATGAAAATAAGATACAAACAAGATACAAAGCCTTGAATAATTCCATAGCTAGATGTTTTTGGAGGAAGATGGGCAAGAATAACGGAGCTGAGGAGCTGTTCTGGGAACATCAGCATTTCAGCAGCTCAGCAAAATCCCTCTTTGTTTGTGAGTCCTTTGCCAGGCCCAGCCTGGTGCAGACACTGCCCTTGCCACCTGCACGTGGTTCTGCCACCAACAGGGAGGTCTCTGCCACTGAGCCAACACACCTCCAACTCCACAGCAGGAGAAGGGAATCATTTTCCTTCCCACTTGCAAAAAGAGAGATAAAAGAAACAGCGAAGATTGCCTTTTTTAATTACAAACGGTTCCCTCAGCGAAACAACCCAGAGCACACGCAGGGCCTGGCACTGGGGGGGGGTCAGGGCAGGGGACTGATGGTTTTAGAGAAACTTGTGAGGATCTGCCCTTTTCAAGTTGGAATAATTTATGCAAGTTTAATCTTCTACCTTCCCTCAGCTTCCTGTGAAGTTCCCTGGACAGACCACAGTCTTTGTGGAAAAATCCACATTGTTTTCTACAACAAGTTTCAGTTCTACAGTCACAACTGCTTGGGAAAAGCTGTCAGGGCAGTGCAGAACAGTGGAAAGGCTGGAATTTGTATTTTCAGACCGTGGAATGGGGGTTAAACTGGAAAATCACAAGGTCAGGGCAATTAACCCCCTCAGACCACAAGAGACAGAGAGGAGAATCCTCTGGACACACAGCTTGCCCCTAAAACTCTGCCTTCAAAGGTACATTTTCCACTTCACTGGTACAAACAGCAGCATTAACCTGACCTTGACTCTTTGGAGTAGTAATTTTAAGTGGAAAAGATATTCAATATAATGGAAAAAATACTAATATATAAATGCAAATATAATGGAAAAAAAAATGTATTTTGTGACTATCAAAGCTGTCAACAAATGTTTTTGTGGATGTTTGTCACTGCTTCCCCAGGTACCCCTCACTGGGCCAGTTCTTGTTATCCTATGAACACTCTCAGAGAGAAAACTTTTATTTTAAATATCTCTTTTCAAGAAGGACCCTGCACCTGGCCACATGGAAGAGGATTAAAAGGAAGGCAGCTCACAGTAACATGCCTGGATAAACATCCCACAAAGATCAGGAAAAGCACTTAATTCTCAAATACCAAAGCTGGCCAGTTTAAACACTGTAAAGCCATTAGCAAATTAAATGAAATTAATGTAACACAACCACTGTGACTATCTCTGCCTTCCTGCATGAGCAAATAAAACATATTTTTCTTTCAGCCCAACTCAGCCTCAGTGGTTATCTCCCACCCAATACAAAACACACAGAAAAAATGACAACTGGGATTTTTTTAAAAGCCTGGCTTTACACAAAGGCACATCTGTTCTTGCTTAAATCTGTTGATACAAATAGGCTTTACTTGAAGGCAAACCCAATTTTCTGAATTTATCCCAATTTATCCCTCGTTCATCTAATGTACTCTTTGTAATTAGGTGTACTCACCAGAATACACATTATCATACTCCAGGGGTTTCCTTTAAATCAACCATTAAAAATAAGAGTTCTCAGGAGAGATTAGAAATATAGAAAAAACGAGGTGATTGTTTAACACTTCCCAGAGCTTCTGTTCCAAGTAGTCCAGGAGCTCCTTGGCCACAGCTTTATCTCATAAATACTGACTTAAAAATCAGGGAAGCATGTAAGAGCATTATTTGTGGTGAACTAATTAAAGAAAATCCATGAAAGCACACAAAAGACACCATTTGGTGGGGTTGGTTATCCTCCCTGGTTGGACTGTTTGATGCTGCCTGGAAAGGCTGAGACTAATTCCTCAAGTTTTGAATCTTCCTTTGGGCAAAGCCACCTGGTAGTATATACAAATTCTTGGTTTGGTTTAGACTCAAACCCTTTGTTTTCTTGGTAAATGAGAATTTGATTACAAAGCAAGATTTCTAATCAAAAATCAGCTGACTGCTCAACACAGCACACAGAGCCTGGCCATTCCCACAGGACGTGGGGAGTTCACAAGGAAGCCAGTTCTGCACAGATTGCACCAGTTTGGGCATCAAAAGTGACATTTCCTTAAAGCAATACTGTACTGCAGCCATTTCAGCAAATTACACTGATCCTAAAGCCTTCAAAACTCCCTCTGTGTAAAGGATTTACTCGTCTCTGAGGGACATTAGAGGTTTCTAAACACCATTTTCCCCCTCAAGAGATTTAAAAGTACCAATAATTGAGAATTCTGCTGCTTCCAGGCTATGCTGCTTGTTTTCATGCTCATCTCAGCAGTCCTCAGAGGGAATCCATGGAGACATTTCCCATCCATGTTTTCCCATCCTTTCTCTCCTTGTGCCATGGTTTGTAGATATTGGGATAGCTGGGGGTTTGGACACCCTGATTGAGACCCTGCACGGGTCCTTAACCAGCTTTGGGATGTCCCCTCCAGAGGATGGGAAGGTGACAATGAAGACCTCTCTTCCAGAAGAGCAAAAGTGAAGCCTGTGAGTGGAATTCCTAATAAAAACAGATAGAAATGGCCTCGGGCAGCATGGGCAGTGGCAGATTGCTGGTGGTCTTTTAAAGTTAAAAAGAGGACAGTTTTGTTCTCTCTCACCAAGAGAACAAAACACCCAGTCAGGCAAAAAAATCCTTCCAGCTTCTCCTTCTTATCCACATCCTTCTGCACCAGCATCAGAAATGGAATTTCCTTACCTTATATAAGAAAACTTCAGGAAGGGTTACGATTTTCTTAGGAAGAAAAAGCAACATCAAGGAGTGTGTTTTTCAGGAGCAACTTTCAGACCTCAAGGACACACAAAGACATCACAGAAAGCTGCAGCAAAGGTGGCAGCAAGAACTGTCCCCCAAAGAGAGAGGGTGAACTTTTCCCTCAGCAAGCACTGCCATATAATTTGGGATTCTATTCCCAGGAAAGCCCAACCAGCAGTGAGTGGAGTGGCTGTTGTTCTCATGGAACCACAGAATCACAGAGTGGTTTGGGTTGGAGGGGAACTCAAAGCCCATCTCGCTCCAACCCACACCTTCCACTGGACCAGGCTGTGTTTGCAGCGACAGAAATAACAGCTGGGTCACTTTGGGCAGGAAAAAAGGCATTTTAAATAGCTAAAAATACCTAAAATCATTGTCCTTATATTTAAGTCAGCACATTTTCCTCTTCTGTAATTAAAATTTTGACAAGGTTGTACTTTTGTGTCTCATGAATAGCAATAATGAACACCCCAAACCTCACCAGATATTCACAAGACAGCGCTCCTGATTTAGCTTAAAATTAAGTGGAACTTCTTGCAGGCTCACACAGGTTTTGACAAATGCTGTGAAATATAAAAGATGGTGCAGATGGGATTTTCTTCCCTGCCAAACTCGAATGGCTTTTTAAAACAGTCTAGAACTGAGCTATAAGAATTCAGATCTTCCAACTACCAATGCACAGACACAACTGGTCCCCAACCCACCAGGAGAAATGTGCCACCCATCAGTTTACAGCTGATGCCACATCTTCAAGCTAAATACTCCTGGAAGTTCATACAAACCCATTTCTTACATAAAATACACCCACAAATGTTCTATCCATGTAGCACACAACCATGGTTATGGACAAAGCCATCTATAGGAGAGCATTAATCCAATTTTATGTTAGAGCTGCAAGGGTTAATTTTGGCCCTCCCACTTTCCAACAAGCCCTACTCCTCCAACTGATAGGTTAGGTTTGGGTTATAGAAGCAGGACAGTTCAAAAATGTTGAAGTAAACCAGGTAATTCTCCAGAGTTGTGGCAATTCTGAGATACAAATTTCCCACTAGAAATCCTACCCGTGGCAGTTTCCTAACCAAAGCCCAGGGAACGAGAGAAATTAATTTATCAGCCTCCCCCCAGGCAGCCTCGGGCTCCCAGAAGTGACATTTGGCAGATGGCAAAAACGCTTCCAACATTCCAAATAAAATAATCCTCTTGCAGTTCCATTCCGAAGGGCTGGGAAAGTGCAGCCACCCCTCCAATCACACCCCCCTCTGCCCTGAGTGGGAGTGGAAGGCAGGGAGGAAAAAGGGCTCTTTAAACCGAAAGCTGGGGATAAAGGGATCCAAGTTAAATGCCCTCAGTGACAACTCTCTGGGCTGTAACTGCTGGACCTCAATGCCTTTGGCTCTCCCAGGAGCTTCATTCCAGTGTTTCCTGAGTGGAGTCACTTGCATCAGCTTTGGAACAAGCTGTGGCATCCATAAAAACAACCCTCGGAGCAGTGCCCTGTCCTCCCTTCCAAAATCCATCCTCCAGAGACTGGCAAGCACTTTATCTGGCTGTTAAAAAGCTTTAACCTGCAAAATTCGGAAATGACTTTATTTACAGAGAAGAAACAGTTTGTTCAAGTGCCAAGAGGAGCTTTAGAAAACAAACCCTCTGCATTGCTCCTCTTCAGCACAAGCTACACACCTTAAAAAAAAAAAAAAAGGATTATTCTCATTTTTCTTCAGTTTTACAGGGCTTAGAACTAAGTAAGTAAAATGCAAACAACCTCGAGAAGGTCAGAAACTCAAGAGTCAGGCCAGGGTTAGAAACAGCCATGAATATTCACTTTGGGATGTCCAATGGAGGGTAACTCAGGAGCACCTTGAAAGGGCTCACTGGTGGGTTTTTTTTGGAGTTAAGGAATTATTGGGATCGCCTCATCACCCCTCCTTCCCCCTAGAGAGATTAATCTGGCCATTTCCCCCACTTTGCCATTTTTTTAGGATATAGAGGACCACTGGCTTTTTCAGCATCTTTGCCCACGTGCAGGTCCCAAAACCCACAGTGAATCCACAGGGAAGCAGTGCTGCATTTTGCCCAAGCACTGCCATTAATTCTGTTGCTGCTTTCCTTGATTTTGGGCTTGGCAGCCTTAATCACAGACTATTTTCAACTTCAACTTATTATCTTCATTCATTTAGCACAGTGGAGGAAGACAGAGAAAGAAATCCAAACAAAATTTCCCATCCCCACCTCAAAATCCAAATCAACCTCTACCTTCCTCATCTAAAAAAAAAAAAGCAGAACACATATTACACAAAACCAGAACTCAACATGCCTAGTTACTCTTCCAAAGCCAGATGGAAATATTCTGAAAATTAGGGTTACACAGCAAAGCAATGCAGAGAAATTGCCCCGGCAGGAAAGGAAACAAGGAAGACAAAACCATATTTTTCCATGCATGGAATTTGCTTTTCATGTGAGGATCTCACTCATCAGCTCCACTATCCCTTAAAAATCCAACCTGCAATTTCTGTGCTCCAAAACCTGGACCAGCAAGACTGGAAAGTGAAAGTTACCTTCCAAAGGTAAGGTTTTCATGCATTTTAAAATAAAAATTCCGTGTTCCCAGCACAGCAGTGCCACAGGACACCAATAATCTTCATTGTGCCCCTTCACAGCTCCCATGGAATTCAACAATTATATTGTGATTTTCATCTGATGAGAGGACTGTAATTTTGGGGTTTAATTTGCTGTTTGTTTTCCCCAAAAATTTAGCATCATAGTCTGAATTCAGAAAAAAACCTGCAGGTTTTGTTTCTCCCTCTGTCCTTGATTAAATGTTCTTCTCTTACACTACAGATTAACTTTGGAAGCAGTTTCCATTTACAGAAGAACTACCTATTCAGTCAGGGAATAATGTATCTGCAAAGGCATCAGAAAGGCAGAGAACCACATTTCCAGGAAAACAAATACAGACTTCAACTCTTCCCCCAAAATATGCACATACATTTACAGCACTGTCTATCTCCAATACATCTAATGCATCCATTCCCTTAAACTCTTCTCCAGCTGAAATTTGTTTTCATTCAGAAAGTAATCTATTTTCAAAAAAGTGTCTCATGACTTGAAGCAATGAAATTTATTTAATGTATAAACCTTTTTCTACACAGTTCCTACACGAATTATGTGCAAAAACACTCCAACAGAGAAGGTAAAGGTTGTGGTACAAATTAGACTCAACCTTTCTAAAGGAAATTATGAGTTTTACTTCACTTTCCCCCAATCATCTTTCCCCAAAAGCTGCTCAGACTATGCAAACAGACCTAGACAACCCATTAGTGCCAAACGCTGGCATTTCCTTCAAAGTTCCTGGAAAATGAAGCCATCTTCACTTAGGATAGAAACAAGATGCACCATCAGCCTGTGCAAGCCTCTGTAGGAAGAGCCTTCATTTAAATATCTGGAAATGAATGGATTGGGAAAAGAAAGAAAAAAGAGGTTTGGGGAACATAAAACCCCCCCAAATGTTTTCAAACTCATTTAAACTCTGTCACAGCTGTTGATGCATTTTAGCCCATGCAAAGAGGTGCCAGGAGATAAAATGGAATGAAAAAACAAACCACACTCTTCTGACCCCCTTGAATAGCACAAACCCTCTGCCAGTGCCATTTACTGGGAGCATTAATTAGCCACGCAGTGTCAAACCAAAAGAACCAGTGGAAATCAACAACCTGCACATTAAAAAAGAGCCAAAGCAACCTTAGATTAATTAATTTGATCTTACCAACGAAGCCCTAATTCTCTACACAAAGCCAGAATTAACTGCAATTCTCCTACTAGCCCACCTGGAAGCAGGTGGGAAGGGCAGGCAGAAGATCCCTGAGATCCTCTGAGCACCTCAGCAACCCTCTGAAGGATCCAGGGAGGAGGTGGGAGATGTGGAAGGGCCATTCCTTATTGCCCTCAGCGCTGGCTCCGTGACAAGAACCCCAGGCCCAACGGTGGGGGAAGAAAACAGCAGCAATCATCTCTGAGCCTCTGCTGGGAGGAACAAATTTCATCCTTTAAGTGAAAGGCAGAGTTGGGGACTCATAATCAAAGAAGGAAAACTGGAAAAATTCCACTGAAAAACTGGTTACTGCAGCATCGTGGCTTTTTGCCTGAAAATTGCTGGCTTTTTTCCAGGCTCAAGTCCCAAATTTGTCACACAGCTTATGTAGCAAACCTGACATTTACCACACCAGCCCCAAGTGGGCCCTTCAGGTTTAACAAATCACTGAAGAAGGCTGGAACCAGCCACAAATCACAAGAAACAGAGCACGAAAGGCTCTCTGGAGGTTCTCACCACGCTGCCAACATCACCTTCAGGAGATACACTCAGAGCTAATGACATGGAAGCAAAGGTCATCCCTCCCAGGACAGGATTTCTTAAGGACAAGTCCTATCTGTCAAACCTGGACAGGATCAGTTGTTCCTGTCTTGTGCACTCAGCCATTGTCCCACAAGAAACACGTGCTTGCTGCTGTAAGAAATACCACCCTTTCAGAAAGGGCACCTTCAAAGAGTCTTCCACTGAAGATTTATTAATGGACTTTCTCACCTCCTGATTTTTTATCCCATCCTTTCAAGCACATGCACTTGTGCCTGTCCCTTTTCTAGGGCCCAGTTCTTAAGTCAGTCTCCTAAAAGCTGTGATTTAAAGTGGCTGAACAATGCCCAATTCCAAACCGGTGCTTGAGTATTTTTTAAAAAATTATGCCCTATACTGACCTATAGTTGAGTTGGAGTGGAGTTACAGGGACACCCAGAACAAAAAAGTTATTAACACATCATCTAGCATTTGTGTGAAAATTAAAGAATTGAGTAAAGAATACAAGATGAGAAGTAACTGATTAACAGCTCTGTGATAATTGTGTACATTGAATTAAACTGGCTTATCATTTCTGTCTTTTGAAATATTAATGTCCTTCACGCTGTGGCATTACCATGCTGATGTACAGATCCAGCAGAAAAGGCAGTGTTCCATGGATTAATCTTCCCAGTGTTATCACCCACCCTCTGAAACACTTGCACTCTGTTAGACAAGGATCTGGGAGCATTAATAGTGGAGGCTCACAGTTTACAGCTCTAAAGGGGGCACTTCCTGCAGCTCAGATACTGCAAATCTGACCCAGAACGTGCAGGCTTTCCCTCCTCTAAATGTCCATTTTCAGAAAATGAATAACCTCCCAGCACTGCAGATAAGAGCATCGAAGAAAACAATGCAAGATTTACTGGCAGTGTTTCAGGACACTTCCCTCACTTCGTGCAACAGGTTGTGATTTCACAGCTAAGCTGAAGAACTTGTACCCTGCAGCCCTTCAGCTACTGACTGAAGTGGAAATAATGAGTCTTACCCTCGGGAAACTAAGGGCATTAATCATTTATCTTCGTGGATACATCCCTCCCCACCACTACAAGTTAGTATTTCCAAACAGTTCAACAGAGAGTATTTCAGTTTCCTGCTGAAGAGAAAATGCCAAACCCTTCTCTCAGGCTCCCTGCAATCCAGGCATGAACATGAGTGGGAAGGGAATGCAAACTGTCAGAGCCATTCCTCCAAACTCACTAAATATTCGTGCCAGATGCAGCCATTAAGAAGTTCTGATTTTATTTTTCCCTTTTCCTTCGCAGCACTCAGTGAACCCAAGTTTCTCCCCCCTCTCCAGCCTGTACTTACCCTGAGTTCCACTTCTTTGCCCAGTAAGTCATAGAGAACTGCCCCTTTGGAGGTGATTTCAGAAGCCAGCTGTCTGGCTGCCTTCAGGTCAGCAATCTGGGAACACAGCAACAAGCACTGGATAGCAAGAGAATTCCCAGCATCCCAAAGAAAACCCACAACATTTAACATGGGCAAAATTAACTTTCAGCCGGCGTTTTGCAAGCTCCTCTTGTCGCAACAAGGTTAGTAGGGAGAAAATACTCTTTGTTCTGGCCTAACCCAGCATTTCTGTGATTTCAACAGCGGTGGAAACCAAAGAGGGTAAATTCTGTGCCACTTCTGCATTGTATCATGCTTCTGATTGAGAATGCACTGGGATTAAAACAAATCGTAAAATCACAAAACCTCAACCACCGAAAGCCTGAGTTAAAACCACACCTACTCCCTTCCAGAACATTCTCCATTTAAGCTTTCAGCTAGAAAATGGGTTTGTTTTGCCCTGCCCAGAACGGGAGTCCAAGTTGTCCTTACTTTTGAGCCCAGATCCAACTTGAACTTGCCATAGTCCTCCTCTCTGAGGTCTGCACGCTCCACTCCCTTGGTGTTCATGGCCCCGTAGAGCACAGAGGTGACCTTCAGCAGCTCCTTCACTGCGTACCCATCTGCCTGGTACAGCTTCTTAGTGTTCAGCTTGATGTGAGCTTTGGTAGCCTTTTTTTGGGGGGAGAAAGAATGAAATCATCATTCACAAGAACAAAATCCTCGTTTACCTCCTCGCTGCAAAGCTCTTTTCAGGGTCATCGTGCTTTGACATGCAGAAATCAACCCTCCTGGTTGGACACACCAGTTGGCCTCAGCATAAACCTGATCTTTCTGGAAGATCTTTTTCTGAAAGCTGTGCCCTTTCTGCACGTCAGAACATTTGCAGAAAAACCTCCAACTATCCGTTATTTCTTCCCTGCGCTAAGATAAGTAAAAAAAACTGTGCACCACTTAAACTCAAATTGAGTTTAAGTGGAAAGTAAGTGCTGCCCAGGTCTTGTGATGATGCTGTAGAGAGGTAAATTTCACCCTTAATGAGTTGCAAGAATAAGATCAATTATCCTAATTTAACTGTCTTCTCTTCCAGCAGCACCTGTAAAATATTTTATTGCTCCTCTCAAAATTTTTCCCTGCTATGACATTAGTAATTTTATTCCCTTGCCTTCCATCTCTGAAAAGTACAGACAGGCCAGTATGGAAAAGAACAATAGAAGTCATAATCTTATTTTTTTTATACTTCAGAATAATAAAGGGGAAAAAAGAGCATCTGTCACAGAAAGGACACAAATGTTGCTCTTGAAATTCCTGACAGGTTTGTATCATAAATGAACAGTCCCATGAAGCCAACACAAATTTCAGATTAAACTTTCAGGGAGTCTTCCTGATGGCATAACTCAAAAATGTTCAACTCCCTTCCCTTTCAGTAGGAGAAGTCTAAAAAACTAATGGCAGAAAGAACAGGTATTAAATTTTAAGAGAAATGTGTCATTAAGTTGACATACTCTATGAAACATCCCCTAGGCAAACATAACTGATGCCCTGAATCATAAAGGGTGTTGTTAAAGGCAGAAATTCTGATTTCAGCTCCGCTCTAAATTCAGCTCTCCCAAGACAGAAAAATCAATGTTTGGTAAGAGGAAAAAAAGTGGCTTTTCACTCAAACATTACTTTAAAAAGAGAAAAAAAATACATGGACAAGTACATATATTTTTCAGACCAGCCCAATGGCACTGCTGGTAACTTCGTATTTGGAGAGCTTGAAACACTCACCTATTTTACAACAGCTCTAGTTTGAAAGGATAATGAAAATTCACCTCTACTTATTCTGATGATCAGATTATTAAAATGCAATAGAAAATATAAATATACAGCAAGAATGGCATCAACAGCCAGAATTCTGCCTGACTTTACAAGCTGTTTTATTATTATCAGAGAGCCAAATTTTGACTCTTGCAAAAAAATCTAAGTATGCTAAGTATGTTTTCATGAATGGATTTCCATGAGATAAACTCACCAGTGGCTTTTTGTTGCACTCTACTCCAGATTTGGATCCAAGGGGGTTTGAGCAGGAGCCAAGCATTGAGCCCTACTAACTAAGGCAGCTCCAGGTGGGGAAATGATTAAAAACCCACCTAAGGCAACCCTGCAGACACTTTTGGGTCTGCAAGGGAGACATTTGGTAAATTCCCACCATGAACAGAGAGCAATACATAACCTGTGTGGAAAATTAACAGCTCTTTGGGGCTTGATCAGTAAAGGAGAGCAAAGCTGCAGTTGTATTTCATGATGATGAATCTCTCCTGATGTTCTCTTCTCAGACAAATCTGTCTCCATCAAATCTCACATCTGCCTAGAGATGCATAAAGCTATTAACTCCTGGGGAAGATAACTGTGGATTCCATGGGCAGTGAATTAGTGAAGAAGTGTTTAAAAGCTTTTCTCAACCTGAAAATGCTGAAAATCTACAATAACCTTCACATTAGCTTGTAGGAGTAACTGAGTGTAGCGTGATTAAAGGAATTTCCATTAGTTTTATTTTCTGAACCATAATATGTAATTCTCCAAAACCCTTGGGATTTCTTGCATTAAATCAGCTATTAAAAGGCAGATGTACACATAACGTTATTTCTGCATCCACACTTGTCCCTTTTCAAACATGCCTGACTTGGATTTTGCTGTAATTCCAAACAAAATAGGTGTGATGGTGCTCCAGGCCTCAAAAATGCATTCTAATATATACAGGAATGTACCATGCTCTGAATACAACAAAATTAAGAATTAAGAGAATTTATGGTGCATGCTCTTCACAAATAAGAAGGAAAATGTGGTCACAATGTAATCTTACTATATTTTTTAAAAAATCTAAGTATTATAATGAATCTCTGGTATTAGCATAAAGACTTCCATTGCTTCCAGAGCCACCTGCAAGCCCAGTTAAGTTCTTTTTACATAATGAAGAATGTTATCTAAGCGTGTGATAACAGCAAAGGCTCACGCTGCACCACAATAACATGGATTATATGAGGAACAACGTTATTTTATTCTACGAAACGAAAAAATTTGATGGCCCAATTCAAGTATACTCATGGATAAGAGGTTTGAGCTGAGAAAAACATGTGCCTTGATTCATGAGAAGGCTCACACCAAACATATACCAGATATATGACTCTATATCCTAATGAAGATGTCAGAGGTTAGGACTATTCAAGCACAAAAAAAGAATCAGGCACCCAAAGTTAGCAATAAATACGATGGGATCTCTTCTAAAACAATTTAAATGGCTTCAAGACATTTCCTATTTTCTGCTAGCTTTTTATAACTATCAAGAGAGAAGGATATTTTTCTGGCTTTGCAGGGAAACTGTAAAGGGTTAAGCGAGAAAGCTGACATGGAACCAGGATTTCAGATATTCATATTTTTAGGATTTCAGGCTGTTCCTGAGCAGACTTACCATGAACTGAGCCACGGCCTTAATGAAGAAAACCCGGTCTTGTTCTGTCTCCACATCAGCAGGAATATCAGTCTGAGGTTCATACCTGCAGGAAGAAGGGGGGGGCAGATCCCGACAAGAAATCCACGTGCAACATTAACGAGGCTGGTTCACTTGTGAGGCAAAAATCAAACAGAACAAGCACGGACAAGACTGGTAAATAAATGTTTAGTTGCTGCTGCAGAACAGGGGCCCAGGGGTGCACAAGGTGGGTGTGTGTACAAACTGCAAAAACTTACAAACAAAACTTACAAAGAAGCAAACTGAAAGACTGTAAAATGCTTTAAAAGGGCCACCAGTGAAAGGCAGGAACTTCTGGAAGTAACCAGCGAGGAAGGAACGAGGGAGGAATAAAAGTAAATTCAGCATTTGGCCCCTCAGTGCAACACCAGAATTTTAAAGACTGTTTAGGTAACTTAATGCAAGTAATTTTCAATGGTTCTAAATATTTCCCTGTTTTGTTATAACAGCATTCAGCAAATTTCTAACAGCTTGCTAATTAAACTTAATGGACACTAATGAGTAGGACGAATTCAGGCCAAGAAACACCAATCAGCAAAGGGTTGTGTTTTCAATTGCAATATTCTACTTTATGAGGAGCTTAAAAAAAATAGTGGGAGAGAAAAAACAAAGTGTAATTTGATTAACATGTCAAGATTCAGAAATATTTAGCCAAAGTCTGTCAATAGGTTAAGTGGCTGTAAAACTGCAAGCGGACAGTCGTAGGTTAGAATGGAGTAATTTTATTTCTTTTAAACATGTTGTGGATGTGGGACAACACTGGGCTGAACCAACAGCTGTAGGAAAAAGGCAAGAAGTGGCTGTATTTTGGGAAGTTCTCACTACAGGTTACCCTGTTGGGTACAAGGGTCAGGCATGGGCAGGATGGTGATGGAATCTGAAGAATAAATGAGAGACACACAAATAATTTTGAATCAGTGCTCCCACTTTCTGGCTGAACCCTCTGCCAGCACTGAGTCATTGGATTTTCTACTCCAGGCTCTACAATTAAACTAAAAACCTGCTAACTACCACATTTCTACCTGGTATTTAGAAGAGCAAAGCTCAAAGAATGACTAAATATCATTGTATTTCACACCACGCCATCAGCTCCAAGCCCACCCTCCACATCCCAGCATCACCCACAGCACCTGCTGGCCTCACCACCCACCTTTTCACCAGCCACAGAAGCACTTCTGACACAAGCATGAAGTTTGGGGTGTGGAAATTCTCCATGGAGATGAGTCGGGGATACCCCAGCGCCCTCATCATCTCAGTAAAATCTGAAAAAAAACAAGCAAGGGATTCCCTCTTAAACATCAGACAGGGGCTTTGCCAAGGGCTCCACCTCCCACAGCACGCTGCTCTGGTTAGCACGAGATCCGCCCCGAGGGAAGCACCGTTAAAAAATAAACCTGAATCGTTAAAATAAACAATGTAATTTCAATAAAAAACACGCATGGGCGAGAAGGTGAGTTTTTTAACGAGATTCACTGGGCTGAAACGATGCTGAACTGCTTCTCTTTATAAAACACGCTTTAAGCGACGGGCTAGGGGAGGGTCCCTCAGTGCAGGGGGGGGTCCCTCAGTGCAGGGCTGTGCTCCCCCTCCCCTTCTTCCCCCTCCCCAGGGCATGCTCAGCCCCCCCGGGGCACCGCGGCCCTCCCTCCCGCCGGCAGCTCGGTGTGCGGCCCAGAGGAGCTCTCTGGGGGCCGTGGAGGGGGTTCCCCGGCCCGGCCCGGCCCCCCCGGCCGCTCTCACTGCGGAGGTCGCGGAACGACATCGCGGTCTCTGTGGCAACGAACGAGCTACGGCGGCGCGGAGGGGCCAAACCCCGCGGGGAGCGGAGAGCGGAGAGCGCCGCTCGGCTCGGCCTCCCGCAATCCCGGAATTATTTTTTTTTTAAGGGGGGAAAAATTGCTCCCTGCCTTCTGAGCGTCATCGATTCCCACCTGCGGCCCCCATCGCCACCGTGGCAACCAGCCCATCTCCAGTCTTTCCTTCAGGACCGCCGGGGACGAGGACTCCACCACCTCCCCCGGCAGCGCATTCCAATATCTCATCACCCTTTTCTGGGAAGGAATTCCCCCTGATGGCCAAACCGAACCTCCCCCGGCACAACTTGGGCTGATTCCTCTTGTCCTGTCCCTTGTTCCCTGGAATCAGAGCCTGACTTCCCCCGGCTCCCCCCTCCTGTCAGGGATTGCAGAGCCAGAAGGTCCCCCCTGAGCCTCCTTTTCTCCAGGCTGAGCCCCCCCAGCTCCCTCAGCTGCTCCTGCTGCTCCAGCCCCTTCCCAGCTCCGTTCCCTTCCCTGCACACGCTCCAGCCCCTCAGTGTCTGGCTTTGCTCATGCCAACACTCAGGCTGAGTGCTGCTCTAACCTCATCCTTGACCCAGAACCCTTCAAATTCTTTAGAATTAAAGTCCATTAAAATATACACGTATATTTTTATAGGAGGAACCGGAAATCTCAATATTGGAAATATTTTATTGACTACTTCCTCAAATTATCTTTTGTCTATATTGTGCCAGGAGGGGATAGCCAGGTGGGGGTCAACCTCTTCTCTCAGGCAAGAGAAAGGGCAAGAAGACACAGTCTTAAGCTGTGCCAGGGGAGATTTAGGTTGGCCATTAGAAGACATTTCTTCCCAGAAAGGGTGATTAGATATTGAAATAGGCTGCTCAGGGGAGTGGTAGAGTCACCCAGAAGGTACTTGCACGACCCTGGCCCACCAGGGAAGGGGCAGGAGCATCGCTGGGGTTCTCCAAGAGACACACAGAAGCAGTGCTGTTGATGGTGGGCAGAAATACCCACAGAAAACAACATCCTAAGGCCAACCAGCACGGCCTTTTGTGACCTCTCAGCCCTTACCCACAACTCCCGTCAGCAGCTCCAGAACACGCTTCTTCAGGGCTCTCAGACTGCCCCTACAGACACGAGCCAGAGCAGTTTTCATGCTGGTGCTGGTGAATAAGAACAGCTTGACAGCTTCTGTGCTGACAGCGGTGCTGTCAGATGGACAGAGGAGCAGCAGCTGTGACCACGGGGCTCTGCAGGAACACTGCATGAAGCACCTGCAGCTCTTCCTGACAGGGTCACCTCAGGGGGCAAGAAGCTGAAAATGATGTCAGGCTGATCTGTGGATGTCTCAGAGCATTTTCAGATCAATCCAAAGCGTTTCAGTTCTAACCGGCAGTAGTTATGAGACACACAGACATGGTCCTGTGTTGTGCAGTGCCCGTCCACATGATCGAGAAAGTAATGAAAAACAAGGAAACAGCAATAAATGGTGAAAGAATAAATCTTGAAATGAAGAAGTTACATTAAAAAATAGGAGATGTGATTAGAGACTGGGGGTTTTTTTATGCTAGAAAGCCATGAGGTTGCAAACCTTGAATAATTCACTAGTTCAAGAGTGTCAGACCTCCAAAAACTTGTTCAGGGGCATCAAAGAAGGAAGGAAACATTCCCCTGCTCTGCTGCTGAGTGATGCTGACCAGCAGGTGGGATGAAATACGTGGGGGAAAGCCAAAGGTGTAAAAGAAATGAAATAAATTGAAGAGCTGAGGTTGGATGTAGCTTTGAACTAAACAGCGACCCACAGAGGAGCAAACTGCAGCCATATAAACCAGGGGAGGAGCTCAGAACACATCCATGAAAAAGAAACCCTTCTCCCTGCCCCCTTCCCATCTCTAGCAACCCACATCTCTGC